CCCCCCCCCCCTTTCTTTTTAGGTGTGATGACTAAAGCAAGGCCTTGACTTTTGCAGGTTCAAGAACTGTATGGCCAGATGAAGTAATGGGTCCATTTGGTCCTCAGGACCAGAGGTTCCAGTTGCCTGGTAATATTGGTTTTGACTGTCACCTAAATGGCACTGCTGCTCAGAAGAAAAGCCAAGTTTCAAAAAGTCTGCCTGATATGTTAGCAGAGCCTTCAGCAAGTGAAAGGCATGAATTTGTAATGGCACAATACATAAATGAATTTCAGGTAAGAACAGGCTTCTTCTGTCTGAAACTGGTATTTCTTGTCTTGCTGAAAAAAGGTATCGTTGATTTTCGAGATGGTTTTGAAAGATGAACTTCAACTGGGGTGAGGGAGAGATTACATGGAATCTAGTGAAGCTTTTTCTTTTAGGAGAAAGAAATATTTCAGGGTGTGGTTTTTTTGACTAAGCAGTGCTTATTGAAGTAGCAGTTTAGTAGTGACTTAATGGATATGGGAAAAGAAAACTGCTGAAAAAAGGTATCGTTGATTTTCGAGATGGTTTTGAAAGATGAACTTCAACTGGGGTGAGGGAGAGATTACATGGAATCTAGTGAAGCTTTTTCTTTTAGGAGAAAGAAATATTTCAGGGTGTGGTTTTTTTGACTAAGCAGTGCTTATTGAAGTAGCAGTTTAGTAGTGACTTAATGGATATGGGAAAAGAAAACTTTCAAAAGTTTCAAAAACTTGTTTCAAAACTTGCTGTTTACCAAGTCTCACCACCTTTTATCAAATGGAATTGGTAGTTTCTTCAGTATTTCATTTAATGGATCTGGACTTAGGTAGTTTGGACAGTGTTTAGATCTGCCTGCTTTGTTCTGACAACCATTGAATTCACACAGGAGAAGCAGATCAACGTATCTCAAGTCTCGCTATGAGATTGCATTTTAGCGATGGCAGAGCTTGCAGTGAGTCAGATGCATTTATTAACAACAAGCAGCTGGATAATTGCTAGCGTGATCGCAAGGTTTCAATGAATGTTTATTGCTACTAGCTGCTGACTCAACTTTCCAGACTCTCTGAGTTTGCGACATGCTCAGACTTTGGAAGTCAACTGGCAAATCTCCGTTGTAAAAACGCTGTATAGTGTTTTTTGTAAATGTAGCGTTGCGTTCCAAAGTGTTCAGAAAACATAAGCTTCTGGTGAGCTCTCCAGATTCTGTTTTCAGCTTGTGTGGATCATGCTTTCCGTTAAAAGCCCAGCAGAAAATTCTAGTCTAGTTCATTTAGTGCAAACCAGGTGCACTGAATGCATGTCTGCTTTCTGGCAAGATTACATGTATAATAAAATGCCTGGTGCAGCTGTTGCTGCCTGAAATGGAAGGGAGAAACTGGAAAGAACAGAGGCAGGTTTTGCAGTGGGTATTCAGAAAGTCAACAGGAGTTAGATCTGCTTCATACCAGTGGCGTTTAGGAATCCATGAACAGCATTTAGCTAATAGAAATGCTAAACTTCTCCTCCTAGGAGGGGACCCGAATTTGATTGATGGGATCAGCTGAATACAGGAACGTCCCATAGGTTCCTGCAGCAAGCAGGAGAAAAGCTCAGTGCTGCTGAAGCTCATGCACTGGTCCTTGAACCAGTCAGAGAAATGGCAAACTTCTCTGACCTATGTGTACCTGAGATTGATGTATTTGTTTCATCTGAGCTGAGTAAATGGCCCTACCAGCCTCTCAATACCAGAAAGTGATACTGATCTTTGGAAAATGGCCGTAGTCTCTTGATGGTAGCATGCCTACTAAGCCTATGTGCTATGTAAGTGGTGTTAGCCAGCTAGAATGGGAGTAGTAGACAAGAAATCACAATGAACTACCGTTCTAGTAAGAGAAGCATCCTATAGTTAGGAAGAAGTTTACCAGCATAACTGTGTGGTTTGTCAGGCTTAAAGTACCAACTGATCTGTCCCAATGACTTTGCAATCATAATACAAGATGTATGTGGAAACATACGTATTGAAACTGCAGTTAATGTCTGTTGTTTGTCTATTGTTGTGTTTATTTTTTTGCTGGGGTTTTTTTTTTTTTTGTTCTTCTTGAATGTTGATTTCTAGAACAAAAATGCTAGCCACACTGTGTTTTCAATGTAGCAGTTTTCTCTAGGGAGAACTTTCAGATACAAGCAGGTGTTAGGTAGGACTTAATGTACTACTCAATATTGTCATTTCAGTCTTAGAGAAACTTACTGAAATTCTGTGTAAATTATGGCATCGTTAGAGCTAGAAAAACCGTGTTAAGGCATTCTATGCCTATTACATAACAGTTGCTATCCCAAAGGAGGCAGCTGTTGTTACTACCTTCTTAACGGCATTTTAAGCTTAAATGCTATATATCTAACGTACAGGTGCTCCATTTGTAACATACCCACAGGAATCTGGTGATTTGGTTTTGTTTTTTTTTTTTAAACTGTAGAAATAAAACTGTAAAGAATAAAAATGCTATTATTGGAAAACTGTTCTGCTTTTCAAGCTACAACAGCTAAAGCTAAAAATGCTGGTAGTTCAGAGCTCTAGAACTGTTGTGTAACTTTATTCTGGCTCAGGTAATGTGTGTATGTCTGAAATCTGTCAACTACTGTTGTATTGAATACTTGAGGCCATTGTTTCAGAAGGATATTTTTCAAAAATTTCAGTATTTGTTAAGGCTTTGAGATAATACGGTTACAATAATACATAAAGCTTAAAATTTCTGTATAGGTTTAAGCAGTAGATTATACCTATGTCTGTTCCACTTTTAATATTTGAAAAACAAATTTTAAGTCTCATTGCAAATGATCTTTCTGTGAAACTGCTTAGGTGTATCAGTGGACATGTAGTTACGAAAACGTAGTCTGGTGTACAAAGTTATTCCTGTTATATATTAATGAATGGGAAAGTTACAATTTTCATTTTTCTCAGGGTGCTGATGTTCCACAGAAACAGCAAATAAATAACGCTGAAACTTACTTTGAAAATGCAAAGGTAGAATGTGCAGTACAAGCTTGTCCTGAACTGTTACGAAAAGGTATATTTTCACTTTTTTTGATAGCTAAGAAATTTTAACTGTTTAAAATGTAAAAATATGTAAGTAAACACTGTGATGTAACTGATGCCACAGAACGTGTAGTAGAAAAGGGTAATCCAGAGTTAATATTTTACAAAAGAAAAATACATGCTATAAAGTGAAAACTGAAACTTCGCTGAGAGATACTTTTTATCTCTCATGAAATTCAGTGCCATTTAAATTCAAGATCAGCTGGGGCAGGGAGTAACTTTTGGCTGCTTCTTTAGTGTCAGGTAGATTTCACTATCCAAAAACCAGTTTGTGACAAAATCTTTTGGCACTGCTTCGTAGTAAAATAGCAAATTGAAATTATGAAAGTACTTGAAAGCATTGGGTTTGTATCTTTCTTTCTTTAATTTGCTGAAAGAGGAAATAATTGAAATTAAATTGGAACAAAACTTTCTAATTTTAAAAGTGATATACTGAGAGAAGAGACTGAAATCTGGCTGAAATCTTGGTCTAGGTGCTGAAGAGTGAGTGAGAAAGAATGAACCTTTGGGCTTTTAATTCTGGAAAGTGCTCTTTTCCTCCCACACTAAAAATAAGGCTCTGTGAAGCCTCATCGTGACTTCAGTGCTTCATGTGCATTCCTGTTTGTAGTCCAATAGATGATGTAGGGAGAGAATCTTGATGGGTTTGGGCCTTTTCTGTCCCAGGAGAACTGTCACAACTCATGCCTATGGTACACTAATGATACTGAGTCTGCTGTCATGTCCTAGGAAGTAGATCTGAGGCATTTCTACTGAAAGATTTAATGCAAAAAATCAGTGTGCATCATGTAATGTGGCTTATCCAGAAAATAAGGATCTTCACACCTTATCTGTGTGGAGAACTGTGGTGGTGTTCAAAATATTAAAATATTACTATACTTGGTGTTATATCTTTGCAAAGAAAGGCGCTTGTTTGCGCATTCTGAAATGTGCAGAGTAGTGGGGCTTTTATCATCTTGCAGTTAGATAGGAGGTCTTGAAATGGCAAACTCTATTGCCTAAGTTGCTTTTAACAGGACCTTACCAAGGTGCATTAGTTTCCACAAAAGCAACATCAGCATTTCAAACCAGCATGCTGTTTGCTGGATCTGATGCGAAAAACACATATGGCTTGGATTTAAATGAAAGGAAGGCTCTAAAGTAGGGTCAATAATTTGTCTAAAACTGAAAAATCATAAATAAAATGTAAGAGCAAGCCGTAACATGCTGGTTTCACTTTTTTTAGACTTTGAGTCAATGTTTCCAGAAGTGAATGCCAACCGTTTGACGGTATTAACTGTCACCCAGAAGACTAAAAATGATATGACTGTATGGAGTCAAGAAGTGGAGGATGAGAGAGAAATGCTGTTAGAAAATGTAAGTAGCTGACAGTAGCATCAGCTTATTTTTGTTTGTAGATGAATCTTCTGTATTTTGGCCCATTTCTAGCTCTGGTAGTAATATACTGTGTATTACTTTTTAGAGCATTTTTGAGCTAATCCTATGTTCTCTTGCTGATAAAATGGAGATAACTTTTTTCCAGCTTTGTAGCTTTTTGACTACTTTACATGAAATGTCTTATATAACTATTAAATTCTTTATTTAATGGGGTGAGTCAAAAGTATGCTAAAATGTTGTAAAATGCTACAGTAAATTAATAAAGATACTTGATTGTTGTCCCGTTGCAGTTAAAGGGCAGCAACTATTTTCTCACCTTATTTCAGCTTTAGTACAATGCATTTTGTAGGATTTCACTGCTCTCTCTGGTTTTCTGTAATTGAGATTCCAGTACAGAGTCTGTCGATGAGTGCGTCCTTACTTGTAAAAAGTGGTTGCTCTGTGGTTTTTTTCCATTCTGATAATGGGCATGGTTAATGCTTTTAGCCTGGTATCAGTTATATTTATTACATCTTAACCATCCTCATGGACTTTGTCTTCTTGTTCTGTTGCCACTAGAGGTCTCTCTGAAAATCACTTTATTTCACATTCTTCAGATTTTTTTTGTGTGTACTCCAGCAGGTGTCAGTGTTCACCACCGCTGGCATTCTTTTCTTAGCACCTCAAAATACGATGTTTCTATATAGTGTTTGTTATAACTTTTCAAAAACTAGTAAAAATCATCCTGTGGGATTTTCATCTGTATAGTGAGAGTCATGTTTATGTTTGAAAATAGCCTGGTAATGTCCTTTTCAATCCTGTAAATTGCAAATGTGGCCTCTATAAAGCAGTGTAAGGGTTACCACAAAAAAGGAAGAAGCAGTCTGAAGGATCGACATAAAGATTACACACAAATTAAAATTCCCTTCATTTTAGTGTGTTCTTCTCTTTGAATTATTTATGGTCTGTTGGTCTTTGGCGTTGTAATCTGGTCTAATTATATGTTAATTGGCTTCTTTCTTCCTTGTGCACCTCCCTGTCAAGTCTAATACAGTCATTGTAGGGGTGTTAGGATGTTGGATGTAACCTCCCAGCCTAAAGGTTACTAACAGCAAATTCACAAGAAAATGGTCTGTCTGTTTGCTTCATAGATGGTTAGAAGTAACCCTAAAAATACTAATTTAATGTGAGAGGCTTGTGCTAAAGTAGTGAGGGTTATGAAAAGCCAAATCTAAATGTTTACAGTAGTGAATCTGAAGTGTTTATTAACCTCACTCTAAGTGATTGCTGAGGGGCTGTTACAATACTGGATCAAAAGATGGATGGTATCAGAAATGTAGTGCCTAAAATGCTGTCTTCAGATGGCCTTACTTATATTTGTGACTTAATTTACAGTTGGAATGTAGTTAATCATCAGAGCCATCAAACCTCGAAATACAGAACAAATTACTGTAAAGGATAAACTTCCCTTATTTTGGACCATTAAGGGCCTGAAGCTCAGTAACTATAATATTTCTACAAATTTGAAACCTTGAGCTGCTAAGGGCACTAATTATAGAGAACAATCCAATTTTTATAACTGAAAGTAAATAATCATATTGATTCTGAAGTTAGAAATATTCTCTTTTATGAGATTAGGGAATTTCTTTCACATTTCAAGGAAGCTATGTGAATTCTATTTGTGCTTTACTCTAGCTCAGTGTATTCAGCTGTTCAGATTTTTGCTCTTGGACATGTTTTTCTCAGAGTGCATGGATGGTTTTAGAACCATCACATATGGTGACTTTTGTGGGTTTTTTTTCTCACTCACCTTTGCAGGTTTCTTCAGAAGTTTTCTATGGGTCCCTGCTGGCCCTCATAACATGGGTTGAAAATTACTGGTCTAGGTGATTAAAAGCACATAATGGAGATCTCCTGTTGTTGCCAATTTATCTGTGGAAAAAGTGTGCTGTGTAATCTGTAGGTTGTGTAATTATTTTGTCCCCTGTGTTGTGATGTCAGAATACAGGAGCACAGCTTTAAATCTACCTGGTTCAATTTTCTTCTGTATCTCACAGACGGATAACTGCAACTCAACACCAAAGATTCGGGGAGGGAAGCGGGCGGGGGGGGAGCAGCTTATTTTCTCAAGTTAGCTGATGTGAAAAGTTTGTTACCAAAAAAAAAGTAGATTCTTTAAGCTGTCTCTTCAGAGAAGGGAGGGTTTTGGTGATGTGTTATAGAACAGGGAACTTTTTGGCATGTTGCTTAATTGAAAATACTATTTTGAGGAACATCAGCTGGTGTCCTCCAGTGTAGTTGAAACATGGCCTACAACTTTGATTGTCAAATAGTGGGAGAGTTTGAAATCATCATTCATCCTGACCACCAATTCATTACAACAAGAGAATTGGTGTAGATTGGTGTAAAAGTCAAGTGCTTATGGAACTGTTTGCTATCGTAATGCAAAACTGAAACATTCTTTAAAATCATTTGCAGTTAAACATTTGTAGTGCAGGAAGATCTATGTAATACTGTCCTGTTGGCTGAGATAAGACCTTACAGCAAAACTATGTTGTTCATATATTTATAAAAATATATTTAATGCCACATTTAGTGTCAAATTTGTGGAGGTTAGGTGAGATCTGTAAACTCGTGGAAATAACACAGAAATACCTGAAGTAATGGTTGACTTCTTAAAGAGGATAACAGGTATGATTGCAATCTGCATGAATAATCAAAGCAATTACATTACTCCTTGTACAAGCTGTTAATCCATTACTGACTGGCACAAGGAACACTCTTAAATCTCATATGATTGGAGTAGTCTAATGTATGCCATTAATTCTAATCCTCTTAATATTATTAATATTTTTATTGAAAGTATGCTGAATTTCTCATTGTATTAGTAGAGGCCAAAAGAAATCTGTGCTTGTTCATTTTCAGAATATTTTATGTGTGTATATATACGTAACAAAAATATCATTTGATATCCTTCTTTCCCTTTATTTTCTTTAAGTTCATTAATGGTGCCAAGGAAATTTGCTATGCAATTTGTTCTGAAGGCTATTGGGCTGACTTCATTGATCCATCCTCAGGACTGGCAGTAAGTTATGTGCTGTGTGGAATATGCAATGGACACTGCTGTGTCCTAACTAGCAGTGGTATTTGTATTCTTCATGGGTTAAATCTAGCTTTTTCATATTGCCCAAAAGCTCTTACCATAGGATAATTCCTTTCATAAATTAAGATAGGAGAGTAACCCCGAGCTAGTTCCCATACTGTGTCAGCTGTCATTGCTGACAGTTTGGAGAACGTTGTTCAGCAATGAAGTTGAATTTTAGGTAACTGTAGAAGTTTCGTGCCCAAAAGCTCTTGGTCACTTCACAGTAGGCTGGTTATGCCCTCCCAAGGTAACTTGGTAGTCCTGACACCTATTTGTGTGGATGGAGGGTTTTAAAAAGTCTCTTTGCACTGGTTAATAATATCTTTGTAACGTAGAAAATATGAATAGCTTGTTCCTATTAAACGGCGTTGGCATTCATTATCAGATTACAGCAGTTCTCTGTAGGAGCTGACAGTTTCTTACCAAAACATCTGTGAAACTTAGAATCTTAAAACTTACGAGAGAGAATTGAAAAAGCTTCTATCAAAGATGAGCGTATATGTATTTTTGTCTGAGAACTGTTAAAACCGTATTATAGTTGAAAATAATCATGGCAAAGCTCAGTGCTAAACCGAGGGGTTTTATTTAAAAACACTGTGAAAGGCAGTGATTTATTGTGTCAGCAGAGGCAAATAGGTTTAACGGGATAAGGTGAACAGGCAGTTGAAGGTGTGTGTAGTGCTTAAAAGCTTCCCAGAAATTCCATGCGTTTAAGGAATAGTTATGGATTGATGAAAGTAGGGTTCTGTCTTTGGGCTCCAATTCAGTAATAACATCCTTAGCGATAACCTGTTCATCAGGAGTAGGTTTTTGGTCAGAAGCTTCCTCCTGAGATAAAGCAACTGAAATACCTGTTTCTGATTTACACACATTTTTGCTCCTCCAAGCATCTTTCTTTATAGGGGGCTCATTGAAATGGTACATGTCTTATTTTTGCTATTTCACAGAAGGGTTCTATCCTTAATGTCTGTAGAAGTAGAAGAACCTTTCCAAAGCACTTGAGTTTTTTTTATGTGTATGATTGATTAGACATTCAAACACATGGATACGCCTTCACACAGTCAGTGACAAAGGGAAATCTTTAAATATGGGGTACCAGTGTAACCAGAGGTGCTCTGCTTAGTTTCCTGTGTAGATTTCCTGAATAAAACTGTACATAAAACTTCCTTCAACAGATGTAACTGGTACTTCTGGGCTTAGGTTTTGTTTTAAAAAGAGGTAGTTCTGACATTTTAAATGTTCTTGGAAATTTTCACATGAAAAATTCTCTTTTTTTTTCCACCTAGTTCTTTGGACCTTACACAAACAACACTCTGTTTGAAACAGATGAACGCTACCGCCACTTGGGATTTTCCATTGATGATCTTGGCTGCTGCAAAGTTATTCGTCATAACATCTGGGGTACTCATGTGGTTGTAGGAAGTATTTTCACTAATGCTGAACCTGACAGCCCTATCATGAGAAAACTAAGTGGAAACTAGCAGTCATCAGGGTTTCACAAGTTCTTGCGACCTTTGCATTCTTTTACTTGATGATTCTCTCTAAGCATTGTCAGGAAATGCCACACTTAAAAGTATGCTTAGATAATAAAGTAGCTGTTATTTATTTTAGTCTCTGTGAAGATGTGTTCACCACATGTGACTTAGAATATTAATTGAAACATTCAAACAGATACCTTTATGTGCCACGTGAATTTTAAGCTGTGAGTTTCCTTCACCTTGAATGAGTTTAAACATACCTGTACATAGCTATCTGCATATCCTTTTTTAATATTATCTTACAAGCCACAATTCTTAACCATTTTGTCTTTGTGTCTAACAAATCTGTGCTCTTAGTATTAAAAATCCTGATGCCACTGAAGTTTCTAGGAATTTTGCCACTTGCTGAAATAAGTAAGTGGCAAAAAAAGTGGAATAAGTAATAAAATTGTTCTCCCAGAATATAGAACTTAATAAAAACTGCATAAGTTAATGCTGGACTAATCACTCATTTGCTGTTCTAAAATGAGAATAGTGAGATAAGTTTCCAGTGGTCTTTGACTACAAGTAATACTTCAGTAGGGAAGTGTTCACTCGACTGCTACATCCAGACACTCAGTAAAAAGTCTTAAATTACTCTAGAATCAGTCATCTCAATGTTTCTTGTCTTCATGTTGCTTGGGATTTTATTTTCTCAGTGTTAGTTAAATATATGTAATTAGTTTATATATTTAAATGTAATTTAAAGTTGCTTTTGTAACTTCCTTAGGTCATTAAATACATTGTGGGGAAAAAAAAAAAGATAATAGGGCAATGCTTAGATATCATCATTGATTTCCTGTACTTGGATGCAATTTAGACTTGTCTCTGGAATTTTGAAATGCCTGCGCAAAGAGCAATTATGATCAATTATAAAAATATTTCAACAGGAAGGTTTCAGTAAACTAGTCGGTCTCTTCAGGTATCGTAAAAACAATCAGGTCAGTTGAAGTTACTGGAGGGAGAATAGTGAAGAAAATTCAAGGTACCTGAAATTCCAAAGCTCTGTCAACTGCCTCACTACAGAGGCTAGCTAACAAACTAGATTTTAATCTCATCGCAGTCAGTTATCGGGGCCATTTGTTAATACACCACTGCAGT